CAGCATCTTCAGAAGTCTATAAAGGGGATGTGGAGACAGCAGTTTCCAGTTCTGACAGTTCTGCTTAAAGCTTTCTATGGTTTTATGGCAATGCTTCTTAATTTACTCTGGTAAGTTTGTGCCTGTGTGTGTGCACACACATGTGCTCATGTGAGGGTGCATGTATATGTGGGGTCCTGGTGTGGTGCTGTAGATTAATGCACTGGACTGCAAAGTCAGTTTGAACCACAAGGTCAGCGGTTCAAACTTATCAGCCGCTCCTCGGAAACTCTATACAGGGTCACTATGAGTCAGAACTGACTTGATGTCACTTAACAACATCAGCACATGTGTGTGATGTGCTGGGAGGGGGAGGTGAGGGTGTGTGCCCGACACCCACAGCTGGCATTGCTCCTAAAGGAAGAGGGTGGAGCCCATCCCAGGGCCCTGAGGTGGGGCGTAGAAGTGGCCCCAAGCATAGTCTCCTAGGCCCTCCCGAGCCTCTGGGAGCACCCTGGACCCAGGACACCAGGGCCTGGACCTTTGTCCTACTTATGAACAGTCCCTACAACACTCTACCTTATCACTTGCGATCACTGGACCACTGGCCCTACCCAGAGGGGCTAGGTCCTGTGACCCATGGCGGGTCCTAGCTGGGGACGTGGGGACACTGTCGGGCTTAGCTGTGGCTCCCAAGCCTTCCTGGGATTCCCTCTTCCCTACTGCCTTCCCTTTCCACTGAGTTCCTGTCTCCCCACGGGGGTCTCTCATGGCATCGTGAAACAGATCCTCCTGCACAGAACACTGAGTCCCCACACCCATCCAGGCCAGACCTCCCCTCTGTCCCCCCAGCCAGTTGCTGAAGCTCCAGCTAGGCAGTGTCTCTGACCTCCCCATCCTCAGCTCCAAGGCCAGCTCAGAACCTGTGTGGCCCCCAGTCCATCCAGGCTATAGCTGCCTTCCCCTGATAACTGCTCTTCTCCCCTTGAGTGCCCACCTTCCCACCCCATTCCTGCCCCCAGTGGTCAGATGGACGGGCGGTCCTGCCTCAGACAGGGCAAATCTCTGCCCAGGAGACATAGGCAGTGCAGGACACATTCCCATGAGCATCTGGTGCTCCCAGCAGGCCTCAGGGAGGGGCTGCTTCCCAGGCCTGCAGAACTCTCAGACAGCCCCAGCTCCAGATGTCAGGGTAAAGGGAGCAGGACAGAAACTGGATCCCTCCTTACTGAATCTGGGCAGACCCCAGGAATCTCCCACCCCATCCCTGGGGGAGACTACAGTCAGGCCCCTGTGGATGGGGGACAGACTGGGGGTCTTTGAGGGCAGGGAAGGCTGGTGGGAGGGAGAGGACAGGCAGGAGGCAAGACTCTCCCCCAGATTGCAATTAGGGAAACCGAGTCCTAGCCAGCTTGCCCAGTAGGTCTCAGCAGCATCAAGACTGGGCCGGAAGTTTTCTGCCACTCCCGACCCCCGCAGTCAGGGGCCTGTCTCCCCCCACCCCCCATTCAGGATGTGCCCAGCTCAACTCCACGTATAAAAAGGGAGACTCAGCGTGGGGGAGAAGCAGAGGACACAGCTCAGGAGGCTGCCCCATCGGTGACCAGCAGAAAGGGGAGGAGCACTAGGCCTTGCCCCAGGCCCCACCCTCCCAGTCTCCAGCTCACCTTCATCAGTACAGACTCGCTGAGCTTCTCACGGTTGACAATTTTGATGGCGACCTTTTGGCACGTGACACAGTGAACTCCTAGCTTCACCAGGCCTGTGGGGGGGAGGGGACAGTTCAGACACCTTTGGGTGCCCGGCTCCACCCCCGGAGGAAGCCCCTCCCCAAGCAGTCCCAGCTACACAGAACCCTTCAGATGTAGCTGCAACCTCCTTCCCCAGGGCCTCCCCACACCCTTCCCTGTCTGCTTGCCCAGAGCGCCATCCATCCTTGACCAGTATCTGCCTCCTCCCTTACTGCCCAGATCAGCTTGGTGGCTGCAGGTCACTCTGACTGTTCCATTCTCACCCCTCCACACACACACACACCCCGGCAGCCACGTTCTTCCTCCCACAATCTCCTCTTTAACCCTCTCAGGTCTGAGGTGGGCCTTTGACACCCACAGCATTCTCTTGGGCACTCGAGCCCCACCCCAGTCCTGCAGCTTGGGAGCCAGGGTACACCCTTGCCTGCCCCCTCCCAAGTTTGCTAGGCCTCAAATCTAAGCCATATTTGATTTAGATGATTCAGAAGAAAAGATTTGGGGCTTGGGCTGATGCGGTGGAGTGAGCATGTTTTGCATGTGGGAAGGATGTGGATTTTAGGTACCAAACAGTGGACTGTTACAGGTTGGATTGCGACTCCCTCCAAATATGTGTTGTACATCCTGACCTCTTTGCCTACAGGTACATTTCCATGTGTGAATGGATTTTCCTACGCTAATGAGAAGTTCTGTGTGAGAAACACTGGGCTACAAACCGCAAGGTAGTCATTCTGCAGGAGAAAGATGGACATCTGCTCCCACAGAGATGTACATCCTCAGAAATCCCACACAGGGTCACTATGAGTCGGAACCAACTGGCCGGCACACCACAGTGAGCAGGAAGTCCTAACTTACCGTGTGTCTCCTGTTAATCTCTTTTCAGACGGAAGAGATTGAGCAAGCAGGTAAGAGCAGAGATGGGGATGAGAGATGTCGCAGCACGAAAAGGCCACCAAGGAGCCCAGGAACGAGGGCCTTTCCCCGGAGCCCAGACCCTGAGTCTGGACATGGAGTCTCCCACACTGTGACAGCCCACATGTCTGTGGGGCACAGCTGTCCTCATGTGGCATTCCTGTGCTAACCGCCCACAGAACTAAGTCACAGGTTCACCTCTTATAGAGCACCCTGGTCACCCTCACCTTGTGATAAGGGTCACCCTTCATTCCAAGACTGCCCCCCACCAGGGCCAGCAGCTGTCCTGGGGCTGGACCACCGTGTTCCCTGACCTAAGCCCCCACACTGGGGGTGAAGGACCTTGCGCCTGATCAACAAAATGGCGTTGCAGCTGCCCCCAAGTGACGCTGAATAAAGTTCTGCTTAAACTTCTGGTCTCCAGAAATTTTAATTTTTATTATACCAACAGACCCTCCCCCCAGTAATTGCAGGTTTCAGGGAAATTTCCATAACCCCGCCCATTGGAAACTCACCAGAACTGTACCCAGGAACACACGCCTTAAATACCCCAGTCTGTAAGAAACAGGTCACTTCTTGGTCTCTCATGACTTAGTGACCCCTGGGTTTACTCTCAATAAACCTGCCAGCTGTTGAAGCCAAGTCTCTCTCCTCATCACTTTCTTTCTTATTTCTTACAGGGGGTCTCCAAGGGTCATTTCCCACCCTTCTTCCTCCCATCTTCCTTTCTGGCGGGACATTTGGAGGTCTTTGAGGGGTTGAATATCTCAGCAGTGGGGGTTCCTCTGAGATTTCGGGGCAGGGTCCTCCAATGTGTCAGACGACAGCCTACACAATTCAGTCTTCCCGTGTCTGGGCAGGTGGGTGGAATAACGAGTTTGTTGGGTTTTAACAGACAAGGAACGTTCCAAAGATGCACCCCTCTCTGAAAACTGGGGGGCACTTACAGTTGGTTTTATTCACGTTTCACCAAGAGCCATTTCTGACCTCAGAACACTGCAGCTTCCTTGGGGTGCAGGGTCACCCATGCCCCAGGTCCTGTTCCCATCTTCCACAAACAGGTGCACACATCTGCACACACCTTCAGGCACAGCTGGCCGCAGCCACGCTCAGCTGCCCATCTCCTCTCCACCTCTGCCTCATCCACAGGCAGGTGGGCTAGAGCCCCTAACCTCCTGGAGTACACAAGGGCCGACTCGGAGGGCAGGTGCAAGACAATGCCTGTTTCTCGTGAATGAGGAGCCAAGGTTGTGGGGGGAATCAAAACCAAACCTCTGCTGTCCAGTCTATTCCAACTTATAGCAACCCTACAGAGTGGAGTTGAATCCCTCCCCCACCTTACAGGGCTTCCAGGCGCCCTTGGTGAGGCTGCTAGGTTTGAACAGCTGACCCTTTGGGTTAGAAGCCAGGTGCTTAACCATTGCACCACCAGGGGTCCTTGTAGGATGCCTGATGTCCCTCCACCCCAGAAAGACATATTCAATTCCTAACTCCTTGTTTGGAGTTCTGGTGTGGCACTGTGGGTTAATGCACCAGACTGCAAAGCCCTTTGAACTGCAAGGTCGGCGGTTCAAGCTCACCAGCTGCTCCTCGGAAACCCTACACCGGGTTGCTATGGATCAGAACCGACTCGATGACACTTCACAACAACACAACTCATGACAGGAATCATCTTTTCAGATACTTATCGACTCTTCGAAGGAGTCTTGGTGGCACAGTACTTAAGCACTGGGCTTCAGGTGGAAAGGCCAGTGGTTCCCACCCACCCTGCGGCTCTAGGTAGCAAAGAGCTGACAGTCTGTCCTAGAGGAATGAGAGACCCAAGCCCAGTGCTGTGGCTTTGATGCTGAATCACAGAGAACTTTCAGGGCAGCGAGCTGGCCCAGGGTCTCCAAGTCTGTGATCCCATGTCTTTCCTTCGTGGACTAGAAACACACAGTTTTATTATCACCCAAGTGCTTAACCACTGTGCCACCAGCATGTGTTCCTGAAGACAAAGCCTAAGAAGCCCTGTGGGGGTAGTTCCGCTCTGCCACACGGGTCACCATGAGACTGGGCCCATCAGCCAGATGACCACGACATCCCGGGGACAGACAGCCCAACCCCAGCCTCCTTGCCTTCAGTCCCTCTCTATAATCAGCCACTCTCCTGTCCCGGCGCCTGTGTGCTCTAATCCCCACACCTGCCTGCTCTGGTCAGTCCCCTTAAGCTCAGCCCTAACCACAACCTTGGAGCTGCACCTTAAAGACCGAATGGCCAAGTGGACTCTCTTCTGCCTTGGGGTCTGATGGTGGTGTGCACAGGAGAGTCTTGGCAGTTCCCAGTGCCCCCTCCCAGCACAGGGAGAAGGTGGGCACCCACAAGGTGGCTGTAGGTGGTGGGGATTAACTTGGGGTTCAAGCTCTGTAGCAGGGGGACAGAGCAGCTCTGCCTGACACAGGAAGGCTGTTTTAGGGTTTGGGACCCTGGGGGGGGACAATGTTGTGCTCCCCAAGGGCAGGAGAGGGATGAAGGGGAATCCTAGGAAGAGGGGGTGTCTCTGTGGGACCCTGCATTCAGGGGTACCTCGCTGTGCAGTGCGAGGACAGGCTAGCTCAGGCCTCAGCAGGATGCACCTCACCGCTGGCCACACTTCCAGCTGCTCCCGGCTAGGAAGGGCCCCCCCTCTCCCCCATGCTGCCTTTGATCCTGAGTGAGGCCTGTGATCAGGTCAAAGCAGAGCATCCAGGGGGAGGCAGAGGCTGTCTGTCATCTATAACTCAGGACCCAGGAGGGCTGTGAGCCAGTGACTCTCCCCCT